TTCTGTGGTTTGGTTGTTCAAATCACGTTTTCTCACCCTCATTTTGTGATATTTTGCTTTTGTCATTCCTTCTGCAAAATATACCATAGTTCGTTTTATTTTTACCTAAAAGTAGGAATATCCAGGGTTATTTTTTGTCTTTTTGTGAGTTAGCTCTTAATTGGTGTGCCTATTTTATATAAGCACCCAGTTTCTGCAATGCGTTAGTATTAATTTTGAGTATTCGGTATTCTGAAATTGGTGTTTTATTCGGTGACCATTTCACGTTAGATATTGGTGCTTTATATTTCTAACTTGCGTCTAAAAGGTGGGCGTGGGGACGACTTAAGAATTGCGGAATTTAGGGCGTTTCCATTTGAAGCATTAATTTATTTTAGAAGGAAGAGTAGTATTTCAAAGGAAATGTTGGAACCCAAGTTTATGGTTAGACGCTACAAACCTAGCCCACACAGCAAATGTACATTATAAACAAGGGTTGTCAAAGTAATAATCTCGGTTTTCAAAAGTAGACAGCGTCATGTTCTTTTGAATGAAATCTGTTAGTTACACTTTTTCCTAGAGAAATTTCCTGTCATTCTCACCTTATTTTGGGAGGAAATAAAGAGTAATTTGGCTACAACCGTTTAGCGTAAATTTGTACATGGGTTGTAAAAGAAAAAATGGCAAACAAGAAGAGACACAGGTTACATTTAGGGCTTTATCTTACTCGCACAATGGAAACCAGGCACGAGCAGAGGAATTAAGTATTATTTTACAAATACTCCCACAAATTCTACCCATAAATCGGGGTAAACGAGTCGTCGAGTAGGAGGTGACCAGTGAAATGCCCCATTCGAGCTTTTTACCCGATTCCTCAACCGAAACAAACCAGAGAAAATCGCATGGGCGCTTTTTGTGGATGAATGTCGGCAATTGATCGAAATAATAACAAGTCAGTTTAGGTTGCAGTTGCTTGCGGTTTCGGCAAGCTGGCGACTGTGTCGCTCTGGTTCAAAATGGAACCCCCTGCGAAGTCGGGTGGATACAATTCCAGAAAACGATGACTTTCCACCAGTGGTTGCGGGTGCAGTTATTGTACCCACGGGCAAAACAGATGACCAGGTGACTGAGCAGAAGCTGGGTGTTCACAGTCAATTACGACACCTGGACCGCGTTTTCGTGGCTACCTTTCTCGGGATCGCCACTGGTCTCTGCCTGCTGCCAACGACGCTTGCCTTTTACGCGACATTTTCTATGGTGAATTTTAATTTGTCATGATATTTCCTTATTACTTGGCTTAGCCTCATGTAAACGGGACTGCCTCCTTGCACAAATGTTGATTTGAGTCCATAGCACGCGGAACTGTTTCTTGAACAAAGCGGATGAATTGTGTCCATGTGGGGTGCCTGTGGTGAGGTTTGTTGTAGGCTGACGCAGGTCAATTTCGGCCATCGTTTATGACGGCGTTCTGTGCCTCGTCTCGTTTACTGCCATGCTCTTTTCGGCAAATCTCATCTTTCAATGTTCAGATTGGGTTTAGGATGATTTTGGGTGTAGGAAGAATGGTAGGTGTATTTTATGCAAATGCACCAATTTTATTTGCCACACAAACCAGTAAATTGTTACCCGTGGTTGCCTTAAAGTAGTGCTTAACTAAACACACGTGGTAATGCCTCAGTTGTTTTCCTACCTCAAGCTAGACAGATTGATTACAGCATACAAAATATTAGTGCTTGCTGTTAATATAATAGGAAGGACATCCCATTTTAGTACCCTATCGGCGCCAATATTGCAATTAACAATGTGCGTAGCATTCGTGCATAAGATGTAACACTACGTTGTGTAAATGTACGTGGAACTCGCAAAGAACCTATAATGAACGATCGTTTTGTGGACGATCTCACCAATTAGCTAACTTGCCATTTTTAATACCACAGCCAACCTGTTAGCTCTCTCTTTTTGACTAGATATACATCGGTCTGGTCGTAGTGAAAGCAATTCTT